TGCATTCTTTAGGCATGATGGGACGTATGATTGCCGGGCTGCGACTCTTGGTAAGCCTTGGAGTCCGTCTCCTTAAGGCTTCTGCGCGGGGCCAACGTCTCGAAGCGTCGACGTTGCCGGCTGCCTGAAGTAGGGTTGTGACGGCCTCAGTCGCGGTAGGGTTTCATGTGACCTTGCGACACCGCGCTGTACCAATAACCACCGGCAAAGACACCCTCTGACAGCGGCGATCACCACTGCATGACATTCTGGAGCTTGACTGTGAACCATGGAAAAAACAGATTTCGCAATGCACAACAAAACAGTTTCTGAATGCATGGATACAAACGCAATGCAAGGGCGTGGGCGGCAATGATGTCAAGATGCTGATATTGGGAAGGAAGACGCGGCCTTGCAGGGGCGCTGAATGCCACCAAAACATTCCTGCTATAGCCAATAGTACTGAAAACATGCCCAGGAGTCAAGATATGAGTCGAGTACATACTATGTTCATGGTACCTGATGTTAAGCGAATCCCAAGGGGGCCAGGGGTAGTGAGTAAGCTGGGCGCATGGCCTCGGACTGCACTGTGCCGGCGTACGCTTGCGCGTTCGACCGTCGATACTTGTTGGCAACCTGGCTGTAGTATACAAAGTCCGTATCATTCGGCTCCACGGCCCGAGGTTGCAGTGTCTACAACGTCATCACCAGGCATTCACTATGTCCTATCCAACTTCCTCCGCAACAGCCTCGTCCTCTTCATGAGCTTCTTGTACTTGTGCTTCTTCATCTTGAGCTTCCTTTGCCTCTTTACACTAATCAGATACATTCCAAATCTTCGTTTTGCAACATGTTGCCGGAAGCTTCTTGGTTTACTCTCTTCTGAAGGTACCGTGACTTCAGTTATACGCTGGTTAATGCTAGCTGAGAGACCCTCAGCCGAGTATGAATCAGTCTCAGGTTCCGTTGCCAGGGGGTCGTACGGCTCGGGTGCTGCCGGCGGCTGAAAGGGAACGAGACGAGCTGCCCAACTCTCTACGCTGTGTTGTGTCGGTTGAACATCAAGGTGATATACCTGCTGCTCCGACTGTGTCGCATCAGCTCGTTGCTCCTCCTGCGCATCAATCTCGGCATGCATGCGCTCGAGGAATCCGCTGAGTACGTTCTTGGTTGCCTCTATCCTCTCAACCTGACTAGCTCGGTTCACGTCGAAGAAGGCGTCAAATTCGGCGGTCGAGGTCGAGTTGGGGAACGCGCGCGAAATAGAAATGGGGCGGTGGAGACCGAAGAAGGCCGATAACTTGACATCTACACCAAATTAGTATATACATGGGGGGTATTAGTATTTTCTGCATCTCACCATCTTCCCGGAGGTGGTTGGTCGGCGGCACAAAGGGCACATTGTTGCCCAAGGTCGCAGTCGAAGGCTGTTTCAGCTTCTTCTGCCCCTTGGTCTTCTGTCCTGCACCCTGAAGTTCTGCTGTAGCATTCTGATCTAATTCGGCGGGCTTCTTCTTGTTGTTTGCGGGGGTCGAGGGCTTGGACGACGAGTAGCGGCGCTGGTGACTCGGCCGGAAAGGCTGTTGCGGTGCAGTGCTTGTGCTCAGCGCAGAGCGGGCGCATGCATTTAGCGCGGCAAAAGGCGCAGCAGAGAAGGTGTTTGCAGAGCGAGCGACTCTGCCAACGGCTGGCGAGAACATGGCCAGTCGGGTAGAGGGGGCAGGTATGACGGTGTTGTTGATGAGGCTCAAGGCGGCGGCCGGCTATCAGGACTTGCTGCAGGCTGCACCGCTCCGATGTTTCCCCGAATGGCACTAGCACTAGCAGCACATGTCACGAGGTCACATTGTCGGAACTACGATACCGAGTCGGAACCGGCGTACGTTGCACATATGATCAAGGAACGCATGCGCACATATTCTATTCAACGTGACAACACGAGATATCACTTGACTCACTTAGTGGTGTTTCCCCCAGTTTTCACTAGGAATGGCTAGGTTTGCCTCGCTGAACGCTCTTCCGAAACACCATAGTGGAGACCAGGTAAGGACTTAGCGGCGCAATATCACAACAAAACCTATAGAGTAGAATCACCATCTGCACACAAACTACTCCACTTCCCATACAACTCATTGCTATACCTGGAGACAATAGCCTTTTCTCCACTGGCTCAGCCATGCAACTCGTTTGATCCTCCTAGCACTCCACTTTATGTTGTTCCAACCATATCATAGCCCTTGTATAGCCGCCAACCCCGTCCAAACTTGACAGGCGCCAAAAACGTCGCATACGTTCCTACGACCCATTGGTGTCCAACCGCTCGAGCTCCAGCCTCACGCCAATGCTTCAAATTAGATGGCTGATGCTCGGGTCGTGCCGCTTTACCGTTTGTATGTAGGTTTGCAACTAGCCTACCGGACCACGCCGCAACGGCGGGCAGACATGGGAGAACCTCCGCGGACCCAGCTTTATTCCAACATCCTAACAAGGAGACTTTGACGGGTAAATACAACATGCACGGACTTTGTTAGTGAGGAATGAAGGAGTGAGGCACTAGTAGTCAGATCCTGTACGAACTGGGATTGATTGTTCCAGTGTCATCTTGTATTGGGAGAGGCTAGGGTGATGGTGGGGGTCGGTTGTTTTGCACTTTCCTGATAGAGAAGGCGAGCAATGTATTCATAGAGTGCATTTATACTAGTGTTTGAAGGTGCATGTGTAGGTAAGTGAGTAGGTAATGCTCAGACATGCAGCCGTGACAGCAAAACAGGCTAGCTCGTCTTTGGCTGCAGACCAAAGCGAGGTTAGCAACTGTCTCCCTCTCAGGCCCCCCCAATCTAATCCTTGTGTCAATCTGTATAGATTCGCGCTTCTGGGAAGCCTTTCGCTACGCTCTGGCAAAACCGAAAAAGCAGCATAAAACCACCCAAGTAGACGCTGATGCATGCAAGAAAGATTGTGTGCCGAAGAGTTCAATCTAGAACAAAAGGAAATGGTTTGTGTGTGACGCTCCTCCAATTATCCGCTCACGGACCGGTGGGGTATATGCTTTATACCCGGAAGCTGCATACTGTACACGTCTACAGACGCTGATCCATTTGCTCGCCAACTGACAATACCCAAGGGATTATATCGTAAAAGTGTCGTACAGTGGTGGAAGACGAATAGAAAATAGGACAAGATATAGGGGTATAAAAAGAAAGGAGCCGTGGATGTCGTTCTCTTGGAACCCACTGAAAAGCCTGTCTGTGGTCCGGTCCTGCTCATTTTGACCCTCCTAGGTAGGGCGGGTCTATTAGTGGCGGACGTACATGCACTGTAGCTCTCGCTCCAGCGCGTGTACAGTCTGCAGGGGTAGTGTAAACGGCCGTCCAGGCCGCCCTGCGCGTGGCGACCAATTGTGATTATTATAGTATCAGAGCATTAAGATTGCGCTGAACAATCATGTCCTGTACCGATGCCATTGTGATCTTGAGCAAATTGGTGTCGGTCGCGTTTGTGTAGTGGACGTAGACTTCCTTCTTTGGCTGGCGAACGAGATTGCGGAATTTGTTGGCGAAGAATTCTTTGCCGGCCTCGAAGTCCGTGGGTCCGCCGGTGTAGTCGGGAAATGTCTTGTTGATTGGGCTCATGCCTCCAGCAATTTTTTCAGCGAACAAATCGATCTTGTTAAGGAAGAGGATGAGAGCAGTCTTTTCAAAATATTTGGAGTTTGATATGGACTCGAAGAGCATTAGAGCCTCGTGCATTTGGTTCTAGCACATGTTAGTAGGGTCTATTGGTGGGCGAGTACCATGACTTACCCCATTTCTGTCTTCTACTAGCACGTGGTCGTAACCGCTGATGGCGACCAGGAAAAGCACCACCTGGACGTTGTCGAAGACATGAATCCACTTTTTGCGCTCTGACCGTTGACCACCAACATCGACCATTTTGTATGTGAGGTTGCCGAGTTCAAAGATGGTTTCGGAGATACCAGTGGTTCGTAGGCGCGTGCGCAGAATGTCTTGGTCTGTGGGGAGGAAATCTTTTTGGAACAGGCGGTCGATGTCCTGGAAGAAGCTAATGGGTTGTCAGTGGTGGGCGTCGCAAGTGGTGCAAATGGCCTACTAGTTCAAGTTATCGTGCAGCGCATACTGGTTGCCCTTGAGTATGGTGAGCTGCACACCCTTGTCGGCCCATAGGCAGTTGAAAGCCGTGAGAAATTCCTCAGGCATGGGCTCTTCGGTGCCAATGTCGGGCGCGGCGTTGACCATTTCAGAGTAGCGCTATAGTTGGTTAGGAAACACGTGGGTGAAGGGTGCGCGTGCAGACACGTACAATGTTGTCTTCATCCTCAAAGTCGGTGTCGTCCTCTTGCATAGCCTGGAAAATTGTCTGGAAGGCCGAAACGAGGTTGTTGAAGATGGTGGCGCGCCAGGTCTTGCGCTCCATGCCCTGGAAACCACCAGCATTGATGATTCGCATCTGCTTGAGGACGGTCGACTTTCCGCTCTCGCCGGCACCTGCATGCTGATCTCAATCGAAGTGGACTTGTGGTTGGTGGGGACATGCATACCGAGCAGCAACAGCTTGACCTCGCGCTCCGCCCGCTTCTTGTCGGTGCGGAGCGACTTTTCTATTTCGGCATTTTTCTTGGTAGACTCCGGGTCCGCAGTCGAGGGTTTCCGTCCAAAGCACATGATTGCTGGTGCCATGTAATGTGGACGGGGGGGAGGTGAGGTTGTGTTGTCGGGGGCAGTCGCGATGGAGCGGGAGAAAGACGCAACGGATGATGCACAGACAAGCACACGGCAGTGGGCTGACAAGCAAATGCCTACTCTACTAGGGCGTCAGTTGAGGCCTTGGATGGCCGTGACTAGCATGATACAATGACAGAATGCCGGCGCTACCGTTGGTGGAGGGGTGCACTGGGGGACCCAAGGTGAAATGGTAAGAAGGGCTAGCGAGGCAAGGCGAGGGCAGTGCGCAACGAGGGACGAACCAAACGACGACGGGATTGTTGGGCGGCGACGGCGGCGATGGTGATGATGAATGAAGAAACAGACGAAGAAGCAACGAGGCAGTGCCGGTGGACAGAGGACGAATTACAAAAGAAGCGGCATGCAATTTGCCATCGAGGCACTAGGGAGAGAAGCTGGGCAGACTGGCGCGAGATAGGCCTGGGCTGTCTGAGAAATAACGAACGTGTTGCCGAAGAATCCCTGATCTTCGCCGTTCGTGTTGACGGTCCTTGCTCGTCTTGCAGCGGCGACGGTGGGCCGGGGGGGACAGGACGGGCAGTGCTAAGTATGTTCGCCCGCACATGTTCTTTTGCGACGCGGGCAGTCAAGCAAGGGCAGGTCAAGGGCAGGTCAAGGGTGCACGGCGTGACCAGTCAATTGTCGGGCACGTCGGGGCTGCTTAGGGGAGCGATCGGCGGCGGTAGCAGCGATGGGAACGGCGAGGGTGCAATCATGGACCTGTTCGCGCAAGACACGGGAAGCTGGCGCGGCGATCGATTTCGGCTGCGGCGCCCAGTCCAGCGGACTCAAGCCTTCGCCTTCGCCCTCGCCCTCGTCCTCGCAGCTCGTCTGTGTGGGCGACGGCAACTGTGAAGTGCATTGCATTGAGCCTTGGCATGGAAAAGAAGGCGAGGAAAAAAAAAGGTCGCAAGGCTCTGCGTCGGGGAAGCAGGCCAAGGCAAGCGGGCGAATGAGGGCGCGCGACAGGATCGTGGGTGCGGTTGGGGAAGAGGATGCGGCCGCCTCGACGTTTCACTGCCAGTAGCAGTCCCACCAGCGAAGCCGCCGCTCCAATGCTGAAGCCCGCCAGCCCATGTCCGCCCATTTACATTCACCACACACACACAGCATGACCTGCTAACCAAGCCGCGTGTCCCGGGCAGTGCTCTGCAGTCGACTACGCGTGTGCCACACATGTAGTGTGTATGTGGTAAATGTAGTAGTGTATACATAACGTAGTATAGGCAAGGACGGTGTGCTAAGATTAACTCGATGGCTGGCTGGCTGGCTGGCTGGCTGGGTGACTGGTGGGTGGCGCCTTCCAGCTGCAGAAAAGGGCAGAAACACACGACGGCCCTATCCGCACGCCTACTCTCCGAAAGTGGACCCACGGCAACCAAATGCTTGTCCACCTCTCCGCCGCCGCTGCATTCCCATGCCCAATGCCCACCTTTTTGCCTGCTTTTAGAGCAAATGCGAACCTGTCTCTCTCCTGAGCCGACCCGACCACGAGGGCTGCTCTCTCCACTCCCCACCCGCTATACTGCTTTCCATCTCCCCTTATCTAGATGCGTCCATGGCTACATGCTGACTTGCTTTCTTCACTCACCTACATATGTACTTGTGTACTTACAGACGCCCAGCATGTCATCGACGCTCCTTCCCCCTTCCTGCATCCGTCCCATGCTGCGGGTAACGTGGACAGGTTCTCCCGTGCCCGCCCCCCCCTTACTTACACACTACATGCCTGCAAATAACCCGCTGCCACTGCCACTGCCACGGCCACTGCCACTGCTACTGCCACTACCACTACTACTCTTCCCTCCACCTCCACCATCACTCGCCTGCCCCCTCCACATCACCCAGCCCGCATATTCCACTCGCTGCTCGCTCTGCCAAACGTCACACGGCGCGCTGCGCTGAGCCGTCGTTCGCTTGGAACCACCGGCTTGTCTTGCCATGATCGGGAGGCTGCATGGCGCACGACTAAGTACCACCTCGGCACGCTCCCTATCGAGACACAAGTGTCCTGTCGACGCTCCTGTCACCACTGACATGCCGAGATTACAGCGACACAATTTAACACTGCCGAATGGGAGTCCCACCCGTCTGCCTCGTTTGACACACGCCGCCCATATCATCTACTGCATACTTACTCGTTTGCTTTTTCTCCGCGCCTCCTCTCGCTTCCCCACCCGTCACAACCACCATGTTTGTTTCCGGAAAGGACTTTCAGACCCTCAATATTAACCTGCAGCTTGACTCAGCCCCGTTGCTTTTGGCCCCTCTAGCTGCATTCATCTACACCTGCTGGGTACGGGTACCCATGTGGAGATTAGGCCCTGTGTGAACCTGCATTTGCCGTGTGCACACCTACTTACATGTCTATCCATCTATTGTGTATTATTGTTATTATTATTGTTACCTCTCGTCTTCTGCTTCAAGGTCGGCACGCCTGCCAGTCCCTGGCATGACTAATAGAGCAACAATAATGCTCGCAAACCTTCCAAGTGTGTAACATATGTGCCACTCTGGGTCGTCTTTAAGCCTCTAACAATCCCCACTGAACTTACTGTGCACTGGCATATACACACATGGCACTTGTTTACTTCTGATTCTTGGGCTTCTCCTCATATCTCCAGGGTCTCTTGTGCCCTCACATCTCGTACCACATATCTTGACATGCCATGCCTTCTGCTTTGCCATCTCGTGCCGTAGTATATCTTATATAGTGCATTGACGCTACTACATATTGACATGTTACAAGCAATACACGCTCTAGCTATACTTTGGGTCGACACCTTCTACGTGCCAGCTGTGTGTTATCTTGCCTTCGGCACGCTCTGCAGCTATTGCAAGCTGAGGTCACCTCACACTTTCTACTTTGCTCATCATGAGACACTTTGTGCGTTCTCTGCTCATGTATCTATTGACTGTGAGAGACTTTGTTCTGTTGCAGTCACTTTGATATCCTCGCCTGTGGGTGAGAGGCGTTCCTGCTATTACTCACCATGGTAGTGTAAACACGGCACGAGCCTCACCTACACGTCACCCACAACCCTCACCATCTCTACACAACAGTCCACCATCAAGTCAGACCGAATTTGGCTCCTACTAACCGCCACCTGCAAAGCTCCACTTCGTAGGCATGGCATCTGCAAATTCATACAGTGGCCCAATGGCTCTGGAAAACTCAAAGTATGCCAGTCCACTACAGAAGAAGTCATCTTCGGTCACTTCCACGCCTTTCCTGTCACCTGTCGCCACGCCGAAAAGCGGCAGCACCACCGCAGTTGGTAAGCACATTGCACTTTCATAAACGAATCATCCTAATGCACTAGGCTCAGAGCAGAACAATTCCGCCGTCCAACTCGCCATGGCCCATGGAAACAGTCTCTATGATGAGGTGAACCAGCATGATGTGAAGCTGTCCACCGTCATCTCGAGCACGATTGCAAACACTCGCCGCTTGCTCAACCTCATTCGAGAGGTATCTCCTGATACGAGCAATGCCACCGTCGAGGCCCTGTGGGATGAATTGGAAAAGCTCTACACTGCAATGAACGATGCAAAGGCAGCACTGCCCACGTTTCTGGATAAGCAGCGTAACAATATCAGCCTGTACCACACTGCCATGATGAATCAGATGATCCAAGATACGCAGCACGAGCTAAACATTCAGCACAAGAAGGTCAATTCACCTTTACAGGACTTCGTACCCTCATGACACTTGCTGACTTGAAACAACTATAGGTTAACATTCAACATGATCTAATCCTCGAGCACCATGAAGCATTTCACGCATACAAAGAGCAGACTGCCGCCAAAATCAAAGACATTGAGGCTCTGCAGGAACGTGTTTCGCGTCTCACGCTTGAAAAAGGCAATCTCCGCACTGAAGTGGACAAGTACATGCAGCTTCTCGAAAAAGAGCATGCTGCTAAGGCTGAAGATCTACGCAAGGCCGATGCCATGCAGAAGGAACTAGAAACTGTCGTAGCTTCTAACAAACAGCTTCTTGTAGAAGTCGATGCGCTGCGGCAGAAACTCGAAGAACATCAGGGCAGGACAAAGGCCGATCAAGAGTCTACCGAAGAGCTGAAGTTAATTACTGGCCAACTCGCTGAAGAAAGGAAGACGACTGCAGCCCTTGTGACAAAAATGACTGGTTTAGAAGAGAGTGAACGTATCGCTCGACTTGATGCCGACAAAGCCAACAAAGAGCACAAAACTCTGAGCGAGAAGTACAGCAACCAGGCAGCAGAGCATGCAAAGGCTTTTGTGGTATGTATATTCGACGGACTGTTCAAGTGCAGATAAAGCTAATACATTTTTCAGAAACTTCAAGAGCAATCCAAAGAGATCGACGGTTTGAAAAATGACGTCGAACGCTTACAGAAGGAAAACACTGAGTTGAAGCAGCGCCTGGCCGAGCTTGCTGATATCGACCACCAAGTCATTCAACTCGATCATGAAAACTCGAAGTTGTCAGGGCTCGTTAGCAGTCTTACCAGCCAGTTGAAGGCGGCTCAGGATGAAGTGAACAATACCAGGCTTGAAAATGAGGCACTCTTCAAGAAGGTGGAGTCATTGGGCAAGGGAGTCGAGCCCACTGATTCCGATACCGCTGGTCTCGTTCACAAACAGGCCGAGAGAATCGCCGTTCTTGAAAACACGCTGGAAGAGTGGACCGACCTCGCCAAGCGCTCGTACAAGGAATACAAGGACATGCTTCCGGCGTACAGGCAGGCCGAGCAGTATCGCAAGGATGCTCTCGACAGGGAGGAAACCATCAAGGGTTTGCAGAAGGAGCTTATTGCAGCCAAGGCTTCGCAGAACAACGGCGACACCACGTACTGGAAGAACAAGTATGAGACTCTTCTGGCTACTGTTTCTACGTGAACTGGCCATTTACACCGGACCCGATGATGCTGCATGAGAGATGGGAGAGATGGAGACAAGGTTTGAGAACCATGCATGTCACTTCATGGATAGTAGTATGAGCAGCTCTCATCAGATGTGTCCTTTAATTGATAAATTCAAAGGCATGTACCAATAGCTTTTGACTCATGACATTGATCCCAAGTGATGCTGTCTCGCAAAATTTTGTGAAGTACAACGGGAGCTAGGGAGAATCCATTCAAAAGACATCCGTCATTCAAACCCCAAAGGAGAAGAAGAAGCATGCCAGTACCCAAATATCGATAGTCTCTCTTATGCCCCTCTACCAACTATACCGCATATCTTGTACTCCCCAACAACCTAACTCTGCAAGCTTCAAAAAAAGACTAATATCCTACGTCACAACCCATAAACTGTCTATAATGCTGTCATTACCATAATTTTCCACGAAGACACAGAAATAGCAAAAAAAAGGGGGGGGGGGCGCTAAAGGAAACAGCCGCCCTTCCCCCCCGCAAAGAACACCATCTGCATTCGATCGTGCCAGTTTCTTTTCAAGCATGTTCTTTTTGTCTCTCTTTCTCTCTCTATTTGGTTTGTGTCTTTAACTTATTCGTATTCGTGTTTGTTGCTAGCATGGTTATCCATGTTTAGCCGGGAAAGACTGGTACGAGGTACGTCATGACAAGTGCGGGGTGGGGGAGGGAGGGGAAGGGAGAGGAGGATTAGAGTGAATTTTTGAGGTTAGGTGGGGATGAGATAGAGTATGAAAGAAGGTTATGCGGTGAGTTTTGTTGGGCAGGTGGTGATTGTATGAGGTGATGATGGCGCTGTTGAAAGAAGTGGGCCATCGGAGGGGGGAGGGGGGCTGTAAGGTATGTGTATTGCTGAGGTAGCGCGGTACGCACACGCAGAATCACATCAGGAAAACGCGGGGGGCAAAAGGGGGTTAGAGGAGGACAGCAGTGTTTGAGAGGCGGCATGGGGTAAAGACCGTTTGAATGTACATCTTGATCTCAAAACCTTCGTGCCGTGGAGGGCTCCGAGGAGAGAGAGAGACGGTTAGTTTGTTAGTGATTTGCAATTCGGGCACGCGGATAGAATCCAGTGGCCAACGCACGGAAGGATGGATCCGGTTAGTTTGGTCATGTTACATCAACGTGCACCAAGCCATTCCACGTGGTCTAGGCAATAAGTGTCGATGCGAGGCTAGTAAGTCTGCAGTAGCTTGTGTGGAGCTGCCCTCAGGGGGGGCGCAAAGTAAAACCAGAAGAGAGAAAAGACGTGAGAGGCCGGAACTTACCATGACCATGGTCGAGAATTATGGACCCACATGGTCACGGTGTTGCGTTGGTGTGTTGCAGAAAGGCCAAGTGTAAGCTACTGCACCGACCGCGATTTGACATGTCGATGCTGCCCATATACCTACTTAATGGAGAGTAGACGCATATGCCAGCCATGTCGGAAAGAGACAAGCCGCTTGCCCCTTTTATAAAACCAAGGTCCTTCCATGATGGTGTCATGGTTTCTCATTGGCTTTCGATTCGACTGCCTGCATCCTCTTCCGTTTAGGTCTACACCTTGGTGTAAGTACTCTAAGACCATGTATGCACATATACATAATAATAGCTCGTAGAAAGGTGAGAGATGTGGGATATGATGATACCCAAGAAGCCAAAAAGTAAAAAGTACCATTTCCCAGGCCCATGGGATCGATTCCTCCGACTCGTATCTCTGGGGAAAGGGACATGCCACAGATCGTGGGCCGAGATAAAAGCAATGTTTAGTGTCCGCGCCTGAGTGCCTTCAGACGCACTGTGCGCTGCCGTGGTGTAAGCAGGAAGGATACTTCCTGTCCCGAGAAACCTCCCCAGCATCTCCGTGAATACACCTTCCGCAAAATCAGTGTGAGTTTGGATCTACAATGGCAGAGCGACGGTCAAGATAGAGTATCCATTGGCTGTCTGTTTGATAACATTCAACATGGCGTGGTTGATCTGCAAGTCCGCTGCGATCTGCACTGCATGTGTACACCTAGCCAGAGTCCGCGGAACTTTGCGGGGGAAGGGAAGGGAAGAAAGGAAGGAGTGGACGCCAAACTTTCCGTTGGACGGCGGTGTGGCTTGCGGAGGACCCTGGGCTAGAAGGTATGGAAGCCATCGCGGAACATTTGTGTACAGTTGTGGAGACGGTACAGACGGCTAGAGTCGGTCAGGATGAAATGAGCAGTTTGAGACAGCAAGACGGCTTGATGTGAGTGGTTTTGCAATGCTGGAGATGTGGCTTTGCCGTGTGCAGCCGTGTCAAGCAAGGCAACTAGCGCATAGCGGCCATGGGTCGGATGATCCTTGGAGCTGGGGCAGGCTTGGACTACCGTGTCAGTACAGTATCCGATACTGCGGTGTTGAGTTCAGCTTTCAATGTCGCCCCTAGGTAATCATTGGCGAACGTGTGGCGCAGGCCCTCGATAGCTTCGGTCATAGTAGGGCGTCGTACGAAGTCAGTTTGCCCAGCCCGTCCATGGACACACCGGATGGATAGTGCCCGCCCACCAAATGAAGCTACCGACAAGGGCCTAGGCTGCAAAGGGGCAAGAGACCTCGTGCAAGATGAGGATCAGGTACGCCTGCATTGACCCGGCCCACCAAACACGTTTGAAGGCAGGCTCAGCGAGGTGGCAGTGGCGCTGGCAGTTGCACCATACGGTCGAGAGCATGTGGTGAGAAGGGGCGGACAGAAGGGGTGGTGGCAAAACACGCTCACGCTGCGACAAGGTGTGGCAAAACGGCGCTTCAGCTGCAGATCGCCAAAAGCTTGAGTGGCCAGGAGGCGCCGTGTTTGGCTGACTGCCGTGGGCGATGCGTTCACTCTACAGATGCATCGACGTGGGCCGCGAGTGGGATACGGAGTTGAGGCGGATTACGCAAAACGCGCTAGTCCAAAGATGGCTAGCCTAAGTGGAGCCAGCAAAATCGCGTGTCGTCGCTATGCATGCATGCCCTTCCACACAGACATCAAGGCCTGTTAGCTTCGCTACGCACGACCGTGGTCTGCCATGGCGGCTTATTAACAGAAAACATTTAGCACAGGGCGAGGCAGCCTAGGGAAGGCTGCTGAAAAAAAACTTCGAGTCCTGCAAGCAAGAGAAAAAGATCTCCGTCGGTCCAATACTCGGTCCCATTCCCCCGCCATCCGACTCGCACCGCTGCACACACGCCCCGATGACGACGTAAGGTGCTAATTGCGGATGCGGTTCTTCAGCTCATGGCGAAGTTCCCTTACCCTTATACCTTCTTATGTGCCTTTTTTCGCCGATTGAGACGCGGAATATCAACGGTAGCCTAGGGCTGCGACTCGCCAGTAACGTGTGGATACAAACTAGATGAATCAGCCCCCCATGGCTACTCCACGACGCAAAGCATGTGTTGAGTGTCGCCAGCAAAAGGTACTTTTCCTCCATTTCGCTTCGACGCGCAACACCCTCAATCGCCAAACAGACAACAAAACTGACTTTACAGATTCGCTGCGATGTTGAGCAGCACAAGGTCCCACATGACCCATGCGGCCGCTGCAAAAAGATGGGTTTGGAATGTCGCATCCTTCCCACATCAACCAGAAACTTGCGCCAGACAAAGGCTGAGATGCGCCGAGAGTTGGAGGAGTTGCGATGGAACATGAGGCAAGGCCAGGCCCCCGGCGACCAAAGCTATCCCCATTCGACCGCCTCGCCAAATGTCGACATGCAGAATTATACCCCGCTTGAACATGCTTCCGGCACATATTCCGATCCGTCAGGGAGAACCGACGCGTCGGATTCAATGTCCCCAGCTTTCGATTCAAGGCCTCCCACAAGAAAAGGTTCCGACAGCCAGGGTACCATCCCGCGTGTCCTAGATGGGTTCCTCCTCGATTCCAAACGAATTGACGACTGTTTCGCACTGTAGGTTGAATGCCATGTCCATCTTCTCTTCCGCTGACATAAGTGATAGTTACTTCACCCAATACCACCCGCTGTTTCCAATTCTTGATCCCAGCACAGCCCCTAATGATTACTACGATCAGTCGCCGTTTCTGTTCTGGGTCATCGTTGTCACAGGATCCCGACGGTATTCTGACTATCCCGAGGTGCTTGAGAGAATTGCTCAACCTGTCACTCAGCTTGCCTTTTCCTCAATGGCATTACGCACCTCACAGGTCCCCATCATCCAAGGCTTGTTGATTCTTTGCACATGGAGACTGCCCACAAACTCGATGTACAAGGATACATCACACCTCATGTGCGGCTCAGCGGTACATCTTGCTACACAAATTGGTCTCCACATTGCGGGCGTGGGTCAAGATTTTGCCAGAACGCCCCTCGAGAAGGATCAATCCCTCAAGGTGCAGCGCGCCAGACTCTGGTTGTGCTGCGTCATCGTTTCTATAAGGTAGGTCTCGGATTATATGCGTTGCCTGGAATTCCTTTTGGCTAACGACCTATAGAACAAGTTGCGTTGAAGGCATACCACCTCTTGCTGAATCTTTCTTCGATGGGGACGAACAAGAGCGTGAGGACATGGTTCCTTATCTCCCAGCTGATCTGCAGTATCTCCACAAAGTTTTCATTATCCTCATGCGTGCGATGGTTGCAATGGGTAAAATCAATTTGCAGTCCATCCACTGTGACGTCCGCGTACTGCGGTCACTGATTAGCATATTCGATTCACAGCTTCTCAGCTTGGCCCCATCATCCCCAAGCGACCTTGGTGAGTATTTTTCTCCCGCACTTGACTATTGTTTACTGACCGAATAGACACCTTGCAACTCAGTTGTGCTCGTATCCATGTCATGGCTTTCCATTTCTTTGCTCACCCAACCAATCCTGGACCTGATGCCGAGGGTCTATCTCGATTTTATGCATTGTGCATATCGGTTTTACAGTCAGCATCGACCATGCAGACAGCCACGAAAACCCTCTTGTCCTCCGTATCGCAGTCTTTCGTTGACCGATCCATCACACTGGCTGGTTTTACGATCCTCAGGCTTGTTCGCAGTCCACTCGCGCAACATCTCGACTTGGTCGCAGGCGAGAGAGCCTTTAGTCAAGCGTACGAATTCCTGAAGAATGTGTCTTTGCAACCAGGAGACGTCCACTTCCGGACTGCGCATATCATGAAAGACCTGTGGGGCAGTGATAAGGTGTTCCGAAAGAAGGATGGACGCGTGGAGTCGCTATACCTGAGGTTACGCACCCGTTTGAGCATGAGTGTCAGCTACGACATGTTCTGGTACTGGCGAGAAGAATTCGGCAACATGCAAAATCCTTACAATGGCGAGGAGCCATCACTCGTCGCCAACGATGCCGCTCAGCAGAATGCTGCTCGTAAGTATCTGACCATCTCCTTTGGTTCATTAGTAACTGACGAATAGGCCAAGAATATATATCACACCACCACCACCAACAACAACAACAACAACAGCAGCAGCAGCAGCAGCAGCAGCAACAACAGCAGCAGCAACAACAGCAGCAGCAACAGCAGCAGCAACAAATCCAACAACAACTGCAACAGCAACAGCAACAGCTGACAGATCCTTCCCTGAGGCCCCAGCTTCCAGTAACCAAATTCGATCCGAGCTTAGTCAACCCTCAATTACAGCCCGACCCATCGGTAATGGGTGGTGGTTTCGACTCCTGGGATAGCCAAGACTACGCAATTCCACCTGTACTGGAACAATTTCCGGATTATGATTGGGCTGCTGGATTTGAGTTCTCGAATGCCGAGGTGCCGAATGTTCCGGTTGGATCCATGAACCCCATGATGCCTGTAAATGGCGGTGCACCGAACATGGGATACACTTATGGTTAGATTCTATGGCCTCGATTGTCCTCCTATAATGATTAGGTGGGAAGAAGAGTCGGGAGCTATCAGGATTTACAAATGCAGATCCTGGGCTGCATCGGTATCAGAAACAGGCAGATGCCATGTGCCTGAATGAGCATGACCGTAATTCCAAGACAGTCGTTTAGCAAAAGAAAGACTGATTCGCCTATCTGAATATCTTTTCAACGATTCTTGGAACATGATCAGATAAGAAGGCGTAGACTGAAGAGATTGGAATGATGACATTGGCAAACCCGGATACGCTGAAGTAAGAAACGGTCACACCAGGGGTCTTTCCTACCATTGAATGGGTGAAGATCATGGTCCAGGTCAGAAAAAGGCCACTGGACTAGAGTGTCGTCTTGTGTTGGAGACGTGTCCGTACATTCGAAGAACCATTATCTCTAGTTGGTGAGGGTTGTTCAGCCGAGAGTGAAAGGGAGCTGGAGGACAGTAAAGAGTAGGCGACACCCATTGAACCACAACAGGTCCGCCTACGGCCTATTTCGATTGGAACCGGACATACTGGCCATCACGGCACCAATGATACGGACGAGTTGACAGACGAGAGGTCGAGTATGAATCGAAAGTGGAATGCTTGCCGTTGTGCTGGCCGGCGGCTCACTTAAATCAAATCTAGCTTCTCGGCTCGCGGAATCCCACGGACTATGCACATGTACATATGTCGGCATCGGTCAGCATACCAATCGGATCATTCCATCCCTCGCTTTCAAACGATGTTACCATTTGCATACAAGGAATTGCGCCAGACATCGGCGGAGCCGAACTGTTTTCTGCACGCTTCTTGTACCCAGCCAGTGAGAGGTCCCGCGTGAGGCGCCCGTATCGGTCAGACTACCGGCGAAATTCGGCAAGCAACGCTACGTCAGCGAGAAGGATGCATTGCGGGGTGACCATCACATGGATTCCTCACATGCGGATGGAGTGTTCGTTGCCGTTTGTGGAGCCTAGCTGAAATGTTTTCCCCAGCTGTATGGTCAATCATAGAGGTTTCAATTGAAAGGTTGTTTTTACTTGACATGTTTCCGCTTTGCGCCCTATCCGGTTGTGCTATCAAGGATATTTGACCGACGGAACCAACAGAAAGGCGATCGGTGCAAGCCACACACAAAGATTTACTAGGATGAGCACCTTGGACTCCCATCATCATTTGTCCTCATGGTTGTACTAGGTCCGCAGGATTTCGATGCCAGCGCGATACATACCAAACTAGGCCAAAGCAACCTGTTAGGAGTTTTCTCCGATTGGTTTTCGATCTAAGTCTCGATCGAACCAAAAGCCTCTTGTTTCGCAGATTCCCACAATATTGGACGGAGGTATACCTAGTTTGAAGACTTCATGTAGCTATCGCTTCCCTTTTTGGATCATTTTCACTCGCTTGTGGGCCTTTACATTTTTTCTTCGGGCTGCAAAGAAGGAATAAGAAAACGACGACTCCTTCTCAACGTCTTTGGTTGACAAAGAACAACATTACGCAATACGCCGAGACTCAGCGAGATCTGGTCAGTGGAGAGCAAACTCAAGGCTGTCGTGCCTTGGTTGATTAACTTCACTCACAGACTTGTTGCTTACCATTAATGAACAGACTTCCTCTTAGTAATACTACTCCCACCATTAATAAGATTACCCTACATCCTTGTGCACAACGTTTCCCCAGCCACCAGTCGTTTTCTTCTTCTACTCGAAACCCACATACATTTATATGAAAATAGAAGATATACGAAAGAGCTAGGCAAATATATAAACTGGGAGAAGAAGGAAAAGAAGGACTTGGATCACATTTGAGAGATATCGTACAAACAGAAGAATATCAAAATGGCAGCCGTTGAGAAACTCCGAGCAATGCTCGCGGATCCAGAAAAGTTTATCGCATGTCCCGGTGTATACGATGGCCTCACAGCACGTATAGCGCTTCAAGAAGGCGTAGATTGTCTGTACATGGTACGCCATGCCACCCACGTCCAATGCACTATACCCTACTACCCTACTACCCTACTCTCCCCTGAACCGTCCCTGCATGTCACCATGCAACCATACTACATGACGACTAACCAAACCACCTGCGACCAATAGACAGGCGCAGGAACAACAATGTCGCGTCTGGGAGTCGCAGACATGGGCATCGCAACTTTCAACGACATGCTCGAAAACGCCTCGATGCTAGCCTCGCTCTCACCACGGACCCCCCTCATCGCCGACGCAGACACCGGCTACGGCGGGCCCGTAATGGTTGGGCGCACAGTATCGGCATACATCCGCGCCGGCGTCGCAGGCCTGCATCTCGAAGACCAAATCGTCAACAAGCGGTGCGGCCACCTCAGCGGCAAGCAACTCGTCAGTGTCGAGGAATTTGAAGCCCGGATCCGTGCTGCGCGCCTCGCGCGCGATGAGTCCGGCGGCGATATCGTCATTATTGCGCGGACCGATGCGCTGCAGTCGTTTGGCTACGACGAAGCGCTCAAACGGCTGCGTGCTGCCGTCGCTCAGGGCGCTGAAGTAGCGTTCCTGGAAGGCGTCACGACGGCTGAAGAAGCGAGACGTATCTGCGTTGATATGGCGCCGACCCCTTGCCTCTTCAATAACGTACCTGGCGGCGTCTCACCGGATTACGGCGTCAAACAGTGTCGCGAGATGGGATATAAACTTGCCATCTTCCCGCTGCTGGCTTGCGAGGTCATATACCCGGCTGTGCGCAAGGCGGTGCAGCAGATGAAGGAACTGGGCAATGTCAAAAGTGTTGAGGAGGACGGCAGGAGATACGGACCTCGGGAGTTGTTTAGGCTGTGTGGAATGGATGAGCTGATTGATTTTGATGTCAAGGCTGGGGGGTTGGGGTATAAGAATGGGGCGTGAGTGGCGTACAGTCGAACCCGACTGGAGCTCTTATATCGTCATTACTGGGATGGTGACGCTAGGAAGGAAAGATGATTGGCGGCGCTTTTTTTTATGTTTCCTTTACTTAAGAGGGATATATGATTGGGAAGGAAGAAAAGGCCTTTGGGAGTTGTTGTATCTGTTTATATAGTTATATGATCTCTAGCCATCATGTCTACGGGCCTTTTGTCGACTTGGTTTACCCCCCCCCACATGATTCAACCTTAATCCAAGACTTCGATTGTGACTAGACTGTCAGGAAGAAGAATGGCAGGGAAACAGTGTCTGAGAAGCTACAGCACAAAAACGTTTAATCAAAAGCACCAAACCGAATCGTCATGGCAAAAGAAACACGTCAATGGGTGAAAGAAAAGAGAAGAAGCAGTAGCTCAAGCAGAAACCGTTTGATATGCAATTCGAAGTCGCCTCGTTTGTTTTCTATGTACTTTGAGCATCTAACGTGCTTTCTAAGGATATCTTGGGGTTCAAACACATCCCACTACCTCTCTCTCACCCCTTTGCCTCCACTCACATATTTACTGAAATTTCTTTATGCAAACGAAGGACAAGAATTTAAAAAAAAAAATAAAGAGTGCTGAAGATGCTTTATGTGACAAACAACGGCATTTAAAGACCCCTATATTTGAAGAAATAGCCAAAAAAGAAACCACCCGGGAACCGGCCCTAGCAGCAGGAGCAAAAAAAAGGGGGAGCGTAGAATTGAGGTCGCAAAGCCCCTTATTTTTTTGTTTTACAAGAAAGGTAGTACTACGCCCTTTCTTATTGGGCTCCCTCTGCCGTCCACGGTGCTGCCTTCGGCACTGTAACCGGAATCGCGATCGACGTCGTCATTGTCAAAGTCGATGTCGAAGTCAGGTTCCTTCTCCTCATCCTCTTCGCCGTCTTCCTCGTCGCCGTCCCACGCTTTTTGCGTCGCGCCACGCGAGTTCCAGCGCAGGGTGCGGCTAATGCTGTCGAACCACTCGGTGGGTTGTGAGAGCACAGTAGGGAAGGGGTACTGAGAGGCTGCGATGGTGACATGGTCGCCCTGGCGGAGCTCAACGCGGCCCTTGCCGTCAAAGGCGCAGTAAGCGGTGGCGCGCGACTTGAGAGGTACTGCGATCCTGAGAAGCATGCTGTCGTTGAGAAGCATGGGGCGGAAGGACAGAGTGTGAGGGCAAATGGGGGTCAGGAGAATGGCAGGGATGTCGGGATGGACAAGGGAGCCGCCTGCTGAAAGCGAGTATGCGGTGGAACCAGTTGGTGTGGAGAAGATGCAACCATCTGCTTGCACGACAGTGAGCAGGTTGTTGTCACCGTACAGCTCCAAGTTAGAGACGTAGGGCGATGGGCCACGGTCGATGACAAGCTCGTTGAGGACCTCGAACTGTTCGGCTTCGATGTGTTGAGGCGATCCTTGGGCAGCGTTCTTCTGGTAACGGTACACGGTGCAAGTGAAGCGCATGCGTAGGTTCACGCGCATACCTGTTTCGCACATGATCTTGTCCAGCGCAGGGCGGTACTGTGCAAACTCAAAGTTGGTAAGGAAACCAAGACTGCCGAGCGAGAAGGACAGGATCGGGGGTACAATGCGCTGGAAGAGCCATGAAGTGAAAAGGACGGTGCCGTCTCCACCGAGCGTAAGCACAAGGTCGAAGATCTCCGGGGTTTCCCAGCAGAGATCTGGAGTCCACCAGCGAAGCATGTTCTCGTAGCGGGGGTCCTTTGCCAACAAGGATGCGGCATCGAAGCGCTTCGACTTGCGCAACTTGTGGTCAACATAGACATTGACGCCCACATCCGATCCGTAGCGGGAGGTGGTCATGAGCCACTCGGCCAGTTCGCGCGTAAGATATACAAGGTTGTTGTCGCGAGCCTTGGTGACGATCATAACATTGCGCACTGTCATCTTGATGGGACGGCGCTGGAGCTGCTTGGAGACCTCGCGGACACTGCATGCGGTCTGCATGAGCCTGGAGTGCGAGATTGTCTCGTCTTCGGACATCTCCTCGAGCACCTTGCCCAGGTTGACTGCTTTGTCGAACTTCTTGTGGAAAAAGCAAGGCGATGCAAGCGCCGCCATCTTACTGGCAGACATGTCTCCTCCGTTCAGCTCGAGTTCGGAGAGGGCCTTGGCAAGCTGCGCTTGGGTGATGCTCTTTGAGCGAGCGGTCTTGCGCGCGTCACCAGCACCGTCCGCAGTGGTTGGATCCATGGGTTCTGCCAGAAGTGGGGGTCGGGATTGGAGTGCTTTGAGGATAGTCTGGCGAGGAATTGCCGAGTCGATGGAACAAGCGTTCTTGCGATGTTTTCGGGTGCGGTTCTCACCAAAAGAAGGTAGCCGCGGCAAGACCGAGAGGTTTTCGATGGAGGAAGAGGTGCTGATGGCAGTCGAAGATCTGTTTCGAGTATACTCGTCTGATGTCAGACTGGCTGGTTGTTGTGTTACAGCGGAGGGGCCGCCGATCTCAGCGGTTGTGACGGATGCATTATACGGTGCGTCCAACGGGCAGTGGACACTGGTTTGCGGAGGTTGGGGCGATTCTGGGCGTTTGAGATTATTTAATGGTGCGTCGGCATCGACGGGTTTAAGGTCGGAGGAATTCGAGTTGGTCCGTGGCGACAGGAGGGGGTGCACCCTCGCCGGGCTGTACGGCTCCCCATTTTTGGAAGTGGCCGATAACATTGTCGCTCAACTAAGTAGTATGCCTTGTTTTTGCTGAACCGGCGCCAGTGGAACTTGTCTAACCGCCTCCGTGTCCGTAAATGGCTGATCGCAGAACTCGGCAAATGAGATATTAAATTCGGCTCGTGATTTCGGGTGCCGCGGGAATGTATATATACAACGAAGGAGAAACGTAGCCAGACGGTTCGGTCGAGGGAAATTGAAGTATGTGGGCGACTACAAAATATAAAGGACAAAGGAGGCAGTGAAGTGTGCTACTGCATGGGCGTGAATCGTGGTGGTCCTGGCTGCTTGGTTGCAAGAGATGGAGATATTGACAATGGTGAAGGAAGAGTCCGGCTCGACCAATAGAAGTAGGAAGCGAAGAAAAAAAGAAGAGGGGACAAGAAGAGAGTGGGAAAAGGGCACGCGACGAGACGAGAAGCCGCGTGGGAGAAGGGCGAGCGCGCAATACAGAAAAAGGCTGTAGTGCAGGTTGAGGCAGGCAGCTATTAGGCACGATGCAAGACGTTCTATATTGACTTGACGTCTGCACAACATCGCTGCCATCGCCATTCTGAAGCAAAGCCACACCACGGTCCCACGCGCCAGCCTCAAACAAAGTTACCGTCACTATGTTGCGGCTAACCCACCGGGTCGTTGTGACACTTCGCGCGTCACAAAACTCGTGGGGCCCCTTCGGACATTCTACCAAACATAGAACAAGACCACACTCCAACCACAGCTTTGACACACAACCCTTCGTGCCTCAGGCGGCCCAGAATCAGCTGTGAACCTGTCTCATTAGGCACGCTCCACCAGACGGCCATGCCTCGCGACTGTCAACAATCCTTCGAGAGCACTAAGAAGAGTTATTCGGTGAACAAGGCCTCGCGTATATACATGGTTGTCCCGGTTATCGGCTCATAGCGACACCCTCCGGGTTTGATCCACACTTCACCGCCATGCGTCGGGTCATTCCCATCGTATTCTTCAGAACAAACGCCTTCAGGCAAACATGCAAGGTTGCGCTGCCGCACAACAAAGGAGTTTCTCCATGGACGCAGTGTCCCAGATGTAGACTAGCCTGCTCCTATCTATAATGGACCACCTTGATGCAGATCGACTTCTGGTACAGGGACAGTTTGGGCCAGACTGCTCACTCCTTACGAGAAGCCGAGTTTCGCAACAACTCGATCAAGCGGGAGGATACGGCATGAACCTGCTTGCCGTCAAGACCGACGGCCCACACACTTCATACACCTCACATGCCCAGTCGTGGTACATGTCGCGTATAGTAGAGAGCACAATGGGCTCATGTTTGCAGCCTGTGGTGTTGCAGCGCCCGCCCGCGGCATTTGCCTCTAGTTGCCGACTCTCTACCTGACGCTGCGTGCTGAAACACAAGCATCTTACTGGCTGAACCTCGACCTGAATGCGCGCACCTTTCATGTCCTGTCATTTTTCCCCAGCGCTTCTGGGGAGAGAAGATAAGATTATCGCTATACACTGGCAAATGACAGTAGCCTTGTGAAGCGCTTGTGATACATACAGTCAATATATTGCTGACGGTTCATCCCTTGTGTGTCAGAAGGGATTGGCGAGTGAACCATGGTCATAGGGTCAGATTCAGGAGGTAGCAAGAAAGATCAAAGTATGGCGCTGCAGCTAGGTATTGTATATTTTGGCCTCCTGGTCAGCCTCGATGGCTGTCCCAGAGAGTCTAGCCTGTATGCAGTGCGAAACAGTTGCTGAAATTCTGAAGACTTTTGTTTGTGTACAGATGTGCATGACCTTGCAGTCTTCTTATAGCCATTGACATGTCGTGGTATCTAGTGAAGTCGTAACTAAAGGAAAAGTTGCAGGTGAGGCGCCTATCGGAGAGCCTTGCGAGCAAAAGTGGGCAGAACAAAGGCCGCCTCGTGAATCTCCTTGCTGTAGTACCTGCACAGAGACTCCTCCTCTTCAGCAGACCAGCTGCGGAGAGGCTTCTTCAGATTGAGGTTGGCGTCCTTGCTGCAGACCATGAAGCCAATCTGGCCGGATGGATAGGTGGGGATGGTGGTGTATGCATACTCGACGTTGGGGAAGACTTCCTTGCAAGCCTTCTTAAGGTTGACAATAAGAGGCATGTGGAGCCATTGGTTCTCAGCTACATGGTAACAACGTTAGCCGCTGCCCGTAAAAAAACACCTGTTCGACATATTGAAGTCGCTGAAGAAAGGCGGACATAGATCAAGGGGTTGAGAGAGGGCTTACAACCTTGGGTGGTAATGACACCGCCTTCGCGGAGCGCTCCGTTGAGGAGCTCAAAGTAAGCCTTCTGGAACAGAGCCTCAGCGGGACCCTCTGGGTCACTGGAGTCGGTGATGATGACGTCGAATTCGCCCTTCTTGTCCTCGAGGAACTTGAAGCCATCGCCAACGATGGTGGTGGTCTTGGGGTGCTCGAAACCGACGGACATGCCGGGCAGGTACTGCTTGGAGAGGCGGATGACAGCTTCGTCAATGTCGCAGAGAACAGCCTCCTTGACGCAGTCGTGCTTGACAACCTCACGGAGCACACCACCGTCACCGCCGCCAATAACCAAAACCTTCTCGGGGTTGGGGTGGGAGTTCATGGCGAGGTGGGTGATCATTTCCTGGTAGCTATGATGCCATCAGTCAACGTGCAGGCATGCCATTGTGTATGATTCAACATACGAGAACTCATCGCGCTCGGTGCACTGAATGACGTTGTCGAGAACGAGGACGGTGCCGTAGTCGGTCGATTCGAAGATAAGGACGTCCTGGTACTGGCTCTTCTCATGGTGAAGAACTTCCTTGACCTGGAGCGTCATGGCCTGACCGGGCCACATGCCGGAAATCTCACGGAACCAGCCATCTAGGGTCGTGAGTTAGCCACTGCTTCTCTGTACTAGTAACGCGCGCAGCAAGCAGCTGGCTTGTATCTCGCAAAAGAAAAAGTATGCCGCCTTACCCTTGATGGTGGGGTGCTCGATGGAAGGCATTTTGTTAAGAAGAGTACGCGTAGAGGCGAGACGGGTGTGTATGAGAAGTGTGATGGGCCTGAAGTAGCGAATGCGGAAAGAGATAGAGGGTTGACAGAGCCACCAGCGGATATATATGGGGAGCTTCAGTTTGGCCGAGTTTTGAGTTTTCCCAGTGTTTGCGTTGGTTGGGCACAATTTTCTAGATCGATGCACGTCACTGGTTGTGGGCGGAACTGCCCCGCCATCCCCCACCTTCCTCCTGGGTAGGTCCAGCCGCCCAAAGCTTCATTTCCCCGGTCATCTTTTTCCATGTACGTGTAATTGATCCTAGGCGACCGACTGTGTGTCACAATATAATTTGCGACTGTGTTTAGGAGCAGGCAGCAATGTTGCGGACCATCGGGCTGGTCACGGAGCCGACGTGATGTAGAGGGCGCCGCAAGCGCGAATAGCTGATAATCAGGGTGGTGCAGACAGTTGCAGTCGACAGACACATAAAGAGAAGGAATGTTCGGCATTGAATAGCAAAAATCAATCGCCCTGTCTTCTGCACAAACAAATTGTCCAAACAGAACATGTCCGAGCAAGCCCCAAACAGAAACGCCACACAGGAGGAGCGCAGTGCGGTCGAGCAGATCATCGCAACCAAAGCTTATGTCGATAATCCCGAATTACTACCGTGGTATACGAAAGATGTCGAAGAGCCCAAACCTGCTGTCAGGGACCTGTTTGAGAATTATAGCAAGGTACCCTCGACTGACGTCGTGACGCACATTAAATATGTCAGGGATGAAGCTTTCAAGATAGTAAGTCTATGCTACTACGTATAGTAGCCTCACTAACATTGTCATGTAGTTTCCATACCCATGTTTGGGCAATTGGGGCTTCCTCAACTTCTCAATTGGAGTAGGGCCGGCTTACCAGGAAGTCGTCAGGCGTATCAAGGATGGTGAGCAATTCCTCGACCTCGGATGCTGCATGGGCCAGGACATCCGCAAGCTGGTTCACGATGGCGTCCCGTCAACAAACACATATGCATCGGATCTCAAAAAGACCTTTTGGGACTTGGGCTATGACATGTTCCTCGACAAGCCGACTCTAAAGACGCAGTTTCTTGAAGCCGACATCTTTGACGCCGATTCTCAGTTGAAGCAGCTGGATGGAAAGATTGACATCATCAACGCCGCTGCTTTCTTTCACCTTTTTGACTGGGATGACCAGTTCAAGGCAGCAAAACGCGTTGTTCAGCTATTGAAACCAGTGCCCAATGCTCTGATCGTTGGGCGGCAAGGAGGTCAGCCCGAATCGGGCACCTTCGCACATGTGATGAAGGACCAAACTGCTTTCTGGCACAACCCCGAGTCATGGAAGGATATATGGAAGCAAGTTGGTGAGGAGACTGGGACTAAATGGAAAGTGGATGCTGTACTTGGTGAAGAAGATTTGTCGAAGAGGATGAAGACCAGGCTTGTACCTGCTGGAACAAGGTTCATGACATTTACCATTCGAAGAGTCTAAGACTTTGTGCACCTAAGAAAAAGACGTTTCATAACACTAATCCAAATCAACACGCCACGTGACCCGCAGATTAAGCAAAGATATATCATAGCAGGGATTCAGTACTTTAGATTTACAAAGGCCTTACTAAACGACAGAGCGCGTTACTAGTACAGCTGCGTACTAAAAAAGATAGGCCTGCGCTACTTTTTCTCCACCCAAAGAGTACCAGAGGTTGCCGGATCCCGCTGCCAGTCTAGAGAGAGACAACAGACTATCGCCCAAATCTTACTCTACTATAGGACGCTTAAGAACCTCTAGAATCAGATATTCAGCAATCTTAGTTGTAGACACAACCTCCAGGCCATTCTGAGTAAGCTACAGTTAGCCACTAAAGCTATCTAGTTCCCAGAACGACCGTAGATCCTTAGGCACGTTAAGATCGCAGATGCGTAGACGACAGCCGAGCGCTGGGGGGACTATAGGTATCGCGGCCGCAAAACACGAGGCGGCACACCTCTACGAGCTTATAAGCATGGCATACTGTTAGTAGATCCATTGATTGTCGATGATAGCATATTACGATGCCACTTTAGTTTTGCGAGGGTGCCTTCGCATGTAAATATTACGCCACGACTTTTTGCAGCTACGCTAGCCACACAGAGTGCAGCAGCGATCAACGATCTGCCCTGCAACGCCTTGCATCGTGGTTTGGCCAGATGCCCATGTGGCTGGGGTGGCGATATTGATTGAAAGACCGAACAATGACAGAAGAGCGAGGGCTGAAAAGCCGCAAGCCAAGTTCCGCAGACAAGCGAAGATCATGTAATCTGGAGTTGAAGGTCCAGCTCTATTCGCTAGCTCGCTGCAGGCGTTGCAAGAATGCTTCAGCCGCTCAGCCAAGTCGATTAGCAGAGTTTGAAACCACGGCATGTGAGAGTGGCGGGGTAAGCTAACTCTTCAGCTCCTGCGGAAGTGCTCTTCTGACAGTTTCTTTTACTGGTACCAAAAGTCGTAGAACCACAAGCGGGATTCACAAGCGAGTGGGCTGACCCGCATGCATCTTGCGGTTGAGGATTCGCGATATTGGCATCGCTGCATAGGGTCAAGTCGAAGTACAAGTTGCTTTCTCAGCGGTGCAGATTGCACTAAAGGGTCAGCGGGCTAGCTCATGGTATATAAAGATTATGTCCTCTCAAGACGCCTCAGCTTAGTTAGTATCGTGTACATCCATCAGGCATCATGCTGAGTCTTAAGAGGGTTCTCTTCTTTTTTTCCTTCATATCATTGTGCGTCACTCAGAAGGACCCATTAAAGGACTTTTGTCGCATACACGGACATCAAACTACAATAGTCGACCGCCGGCTCTACGTAGATGGAGGTCTGGTCAATTGGTCGCCTCTCTCAGCAGAATCTATCAACTACACAAGTATGATGCCTGTCAAAGAACCAAGCATACGTGTTACGTCTACGCCTACTTATCACTTCTAGGTACATGGCTGAGATACGGTGAGCTCGATATAGATAAAGACGGCTTCCCCCAGCATTTCCTCCTAGCAAAGAACGATTCAGTCCCTTCCGTCCAAGGTGGCGTACTTTGGTCGGACACCTCGAATAAGGTTATGTATCTGTACGGCGGCGAGTATGGCAATGACAAGCCTGAAGACTTTGTCTTGTGGTATTACGATATCGTTTACGATACCTGGAACAGGTCCGATGTGAAAACGCCAGACATACGGCGAGCTTCTTGGGGTATGTTTCTTTTCTACATGTGTATTGAAGAGTGCTGATGACAAAAGGTGCTGGTGCCACAGTACAGGACAAAGCGAGAGGCTATTATTATGGAGGTTGGTTGACTAACGCTTCTGTCCCTGGATACCAATCTCGCACCGCTCTGAGTAACATGCTGGTCTATGACATGCTCGCGAGTTCATTCAAGAACCAATCCGGGCCAGACGACATTCCCCGCGCTGAAGGTGTAATGATATATCTACCTGCCGGGGATAGTGGGTTGTTGGTATATTTTGGAGGTATTCAGTTCCCCTACGGCAATGAAACAGCAAAAGCGGTGGGTTCCTCATCCATCAAGCTGCTTTTACGATCACTGATAGGCGCAGCTTCCAATGACTGTACGTCCCACATAAGCCGGAAATTTTTTTGTTACTCAAGCCTCTCACAGGATATATATGTGTACGATATCGGGAATGATCTCTGGTACAAGCAGAAGGCGAGTGGTGCAGGAGTGCCTGAGAATCGGCGAAGATTTTGCGCAGGAGCCGCGTGGGCGGATGACCGCTCATCTTACAATATGTCCGTGGGGTTATCGTGTTCTGGAGAAGTATCACTGACCAGTCTTAGCTATCTTTATGGCGGTGCATCAGTCGGTGATGGGGTTGGTTACGGAGATGTATGGATATTGAGCCTCCCATCCTTCACGTGGATCAAGGTGAGCCAGAAATGTCTTGCCCAGGACTACGGCAAAATAAGCGTGGGGACAAGTGCTAACCGTATGAAAAGTTCTGGCCCAGAAAAGAAGACGGTAATGGCCAAACCTATCCCCATCATTCACTCACATGCGACGTTATAGAGAACTCGCAAATGATCATTATGGGTGGCTCATTTCCCAATGAGACTGCCGAATGCGACGTCTCGCCTAATTACGGACAGCATGGTCTGGATCTAGGTAAGGCGAATGCTAAGGGAGCGAAATGGGCACTGTTCAACCCGAACGTGACACAGTACAAGGTGCCTTTGGAGATAGCCCAGACAATAGGGGGCGGTGCCACAGGCGGTGCAACTATGCTCGCTCCAACAAGCGGATGGGAGGAGAGGGACTTACAAGTACAGTTTCAGCGAGCTTACATGCCGACAACAAGGACACCTACAAGAGACCTCCCCACATCGACGGCGACTTCCACATCAACTTCATCTCCAGCTAAGCCAGGAGGCTCAAGCAAGAAGACTATTATTGCCGGAGCCGTGGGTGGAGCCGTGGGAGGCTTGTTGCTGCTGGTCGCCATGGTCTGCATTTGCTTGTGCATCCGCCGCCGGAAGAGAATCGAGGAAGGCAACAGGCACAGTCAACCGGAACCCCCATTGCAATCGATGACCCAAAACACTTCTCCTCCAATATCACCACAGCAGTGCTCCTTCAGCCCCCAAAGCTTACCGTCGCCGCCCTCATACCACGCGTGGCCTCACTACGCACCAGGCGGTCCGGACCCATCAGCAGTTGCCGCGCCACAAGAGGTGCCCAACGTGCCATCTCCACCGTTGCAGGAGATGCCTAATGTGAGATCGCCAGTAAGCTTCGGTACTCAGCGGCAATCGAGTGAACCATGTGCTTTGGGCATCGATCCGTATTACTCACAGCATCCACCTAAGAGAGCTGAGACAGATGTATCGCCCATGAGTAACTGAAGCGTGATGTTCCAATGTTATATAAATTGTAGTGTAGGACGCCTTTTTTAGTAGTGAGGTTTATTTTCAATATTGAAAAGAAATTAACACATCTTCAAGTCTAACATATAGAGTTACTTGGAAACTAAGTTGATTGTTAACAAGTCTATGCGTCACGCTGCTTTTCGTGGTCGCTTCTTGTAACAAAATGTGAAGGTCGTCCGAAGATGAACTAGGTTTAGTTTTCGGGGAGTGAGTGGGCGACGATGGACGAGAGGGTTGTATGAGCACGATTGGTAGATCGATGTAACAACACGAGGGGTTTGAGAATCAAGTAGTAATCCCTAGGTTCAAACTTAAGTTGAACATAATGGTCTTTAAGATTTCATTGCTTAATACTATATACTGAGGGTGATAGCCGCGCGCAGGACTACCGATAGTCTTTGGAGTGACTATCGATCACGTGACATTGCCTTCCCTGGCGATACAGTTCCTGTCACGCTCCACCTATTGATGAAGCCTGTGACTGTAATTTGTAGCATAATATCATTCTATACTCTGAAGGCCGAACTATCGCAGTATGAATAGTTCGAAATTAAAATGATGATAAAATATTTCTAAGTGTAATCATTTTCCGAGCATAGGTGCCGAAATAGATTAGGAAGACCAAGCCGTGGCTGCCACCGTGACTTCTCACACCACACACTCAAATCGATTAACTACGTATATAAGAGTAAGAGTGCCGCATAGATACGTAGGTGTATCGTTAATTCCTCGCAAATATATGCTGGAAGAATATGGGGGTTGTTTCTAAGGCTTTGCAGTCATGAGAATAATGATAAAGCTTGAATTCGGACAGGATGCTTAGCCAACGAGTTGTGAGTTCTCAAACTTATAGTCAAACAAGCGAATATAGTTTGGGGTTGTAATTGCTCTGCTACAGTTACTCAGCCAACCTCACTGTACTGTGTACACCAGCTCTAATAAGTTGAGGTGTAATGGCTGGGCCGGCCAATGAGCGGCTTGTATGGTCCGAGCAATCAGCCCAAACTCAATCTGGCTTCAACACCACGATTGCATCTTCAATCGCGGGTCCATTGCTACAGCGTACCTCTACACACCGCAATCATGGACCCCTATTCCCCCGAAGGAGGTGGGTATTATCTTGCTCCTCATACCATATCACCGTATAACCCCACTAACGCATCCCAGAGCTCATCAACATCCACTCGGCCTTCCACGCCGGGGCCTACCAACAAGTTCTCGACTTCGACACCTCGTCCTTTTCGGCCTCCAATACGCTTCCCGTCCGTGTCCTAAAACTTCGCAGCCAAATTGCTCTCGGCCAGGCAGAATCCGTTTCCAGCGAACTCGCATCCGAGAAGACACCCGATCTCGTCGCGGTGAAGTTGCTGGCAGACTACGAGCAAGGCAAAGATGTTCTTAGCCAGGCAAAGAAGTTGGCGGAGCAGAGTGGACAGGAGAATCTGGCTGTGCAACTTTGTGTGGGCATAATCCTGGAGAGGGCAGGAGAGACGGAGGCTGCGCTGGAACTCTTGAGCAAGCACCAAGGCAGCTTGGATGCGTACGGCAGCCCGAACACGCCAAATCTGGCATGAAATCGAAGCACAATGGCTGATGTCTGAATAGGGTAGCGCTCATTGTCCAAATCCACCTCCAACAGAACCGCACCGACCTTGCTGCCAAGGAAGCACAGCGTGCACGGAAATGGGCGCAGGATAGCCTGCTGGTCAACATTGCTGAGAGCTGGGTTGGCATGCGCGAGGTTCGTAACTCACTTGTTCCCACCCCCACTACGTAACCAATGGATGTTGGACAAGACACTAATCTTAGGTTAGGGCGGCGAGAAATACCAGTCGGCGTTCTACGTCTTCGAAGAACTAGCTACAACCGCGCAATCGACCTCTCCTCACTCTCTCGTTGCGCAAGCAGTGTCAGAACTACATCTCGGCCGCCTACCCGAAGCCGAAGCTGCTTTACAACAAGCCATCTCCATTGACGGTACCTCTGCCGACACAATCGCCAACCTCATTGTCCTCAACACACTGCTAGGCAAGAAGGATGAAACAGAAAAGATGAAGACACAACTTCAATCCGTAGCCCCACAACACCGAGCGATAGCAGACTGGGCTAGTAAGAAGGATGAGTTTGCCAAGGCGGCGGCCAAGTACACTCCGCAGTTTGAACCTGTTTCGTAGAAGCGGGATGGAGGAGTAGAAACGAGAGCGATAGCTTACGATTGATTGATGAACAACCTGTAGGGAGATATCCAATAGATGATAAGCTGCCAATGTAAACTAGTAAACATTGGGCGGGTTACTACGAATGAAGAATCTGTCTAGTGTATGGATAGGTATGTATGTTGGGTGCAGGGTTTTGAGCCGATGACATACATTTTCAGCGGAGGTTCCTGTGGCGTAGACCTCGTGCCCTCTACAACTCAACATTACCTCATCTTTGACACACCGACTCTACACCTACAAGCATGCTACCTCATATGGCAAAGCATTCGGAGATGCATTTCTCTCATCACCTTTCTTTTTCCAAAGTTTTCCCCATCCCCATTCTCCGCCCTCGCCGGCAACCTGTCTTTCCGGACGCCACAAAGCACACAGCCCGCATGTTACCGCATCCGAACCAGAGACCCTAGGCGCCACCTTCCCGTTGGACAAGCACAAGCTTCACATACTGGTGTGAGAATGCACAGCTTCCAAGTTGGAGCGGTCGGCTGGCGTAACGCCAGATGACATCCGTCTTTGCTGTCATTTGGAGGGGGCGGGCGGCGGCTGCAGCGGTGCTTCTTCACGGGAAAGATGGAAGAGTGGGTAAAGTGCGTGTGTGGGTGTTTGAGGACAGGGCGTCCAAGCGCACTAGCATACATCTGATCGACGCGCCACACGGGTTTAAGCGATAGATCGTATCCAGCCCACCGGATTCTGTGAGCTGTGGAAGGGGGAGGGTGGATTTTTGCACGTAGGAAGGAAGGGGGAGAGGGTCCATGTGGTTGCAGCTGAGACTGGACGCAGAAGCTCTTTTGCTACCAGCCCGTACAACGCGAGAAACGGGAATTTTCCTCACAACAATCTCGATTGCTTGCAACTCAGGAGAAGAGGAAATTCGTATCTCGGGGATGATAAAATGACTCAGGGCATCGTGCATGTCGCAGCATCTGACACGTCTCGTGCCGCGACGGCGTGCGACTCCTGCAACGACAACTGTTGTGCCGCAGCCCGGGACCTGATACATCCGAGCGCCAACTTACCCCATTCTACCGCAACGATCAATCTTTGGAAACCAGCGCTAGCCTCGGGGCCTTATCCAACCAATCCATACCTGTTGCGGTTGGATGGGGGCTGTGGTCTTAACACGCTTTGGGAACACGTCCCGGGGAGAAGGAGCGTTTGGAAAGAAAAGAGAGAAAGTGACCCGCATGGCTGGGTGTGGGCTTTTTTAGGAGGAGGGCTTTTTCTTAGTAGCGTACTTGCTTGCCCGGCGGTATGCTGCTAAGGAATCTCTTGTTTTTTCCTTCTCCTCTCTTTCTTTCTTTCTAACGTTGCTCACGCCGTCGGACTGGAATGGGAAGTTTTGTCTAAGTTTTTTTTGGGAACATAGGTTGCTTTGCTATTCTACGCAGACGCAACTACTACATCCAGTTTATATCTCACCATAGGTGCCATCACTTTTGTTGCCTTAACGCCGAAATCTCCGCTTCGCGCGCTTGCGGAACCGTCAGGCTATTGGATAGGCTAAGGGAGCGACTTCGTCATGTCTGGGGAAGAGGCCGACGTCGGCAACTCGCTCGACGTACCATCATCATCACATCCTGACAACATGGTCATCGGAGTACCACCAGTATTTGAGGGGCTCACAAGAGAGCTGGGCAAGATTGTCGAGCAGCCACTACTTGGTCCCAAGGCCAAGTTTCCCCCAGGTAAGAGGCCTCTCTGTAGCCATAGCGCTTGAGACATGTAGTAACCATCTATCTAGCTACTTTTGGTTTTGCACGCAAGGATTTATCTGGAAGGCGAAAGCCACAAGCCATAGCACATCGAGGATACAAGGCCAAGTTCGCCGAGAATACTTTAGGCGCCTTCAAGGGTGCAGTTGAAGTCGGAGCCGATGGCCTAGAAACCGATTTACACTTGACCAGAGATGGTGTCGTTGTATTATCCCATGTAAGTTTTCGGATCTAGTCATATTTGATCATGGACTGATACTCGACAGGACAAAGATCTCAAGAGATGCTTTGGTAGGGATGAAAAGATCATAGACTGTGACTATGAGTTTATAAGTAAACTGAGGACATTGAAAGAGCCACACGAGCCAATGCCTCGCCTTTCAGATCTACTCGAGTATATGGCACAACCCGGGTTGGAGAACATCTGGGTATTACTCGACATTAAGGTTTGTAGTCGGTGCTACTTTGCATAGCCGAAAGCTGACGCAAGACAGTTGGACAATGATGCAGACGATGTAATGCGGCTGATTGGTGATACAATCGGGAGCGTGCCACCCTTGCCATCACGACCATGGCAGAGCCGCATCGTTCTTGGGTGCTGGGCAGCAAAGTACCTTCCGCTGTGTTCACGATATCTGCCCGGCTTCCCAGTCTCCCATATTGGCTTCTCAACGCTTGTTGCATCGCATTTCTTCACAGTCCCGAATGTCTCTTTCAACATGGCACACGCTGTCATGATGCCGTGGGACAGGCTGTTCATACGCAAAGCACAAAGTGACGGCCGACCGGTGTATGCATGGACAGTGAACAAGGAGTGCCATATGCGATGGGACATCCGGCATGGGCTGGATGGTGTGGTGACAGACGATCCGAAGTTGTTTGTGCAAGTCCGGGATTCATGGCACGAGGGTGTGAAAGACGGCGTGTCGGTAATGGCATGGTTAGATGTGCTGCGGGTTAATTTCTTTTGTCTGATCTATACCTTTTTGTTCCAGTTGAGGTTTGGATTTCAAGACAAGTCGCTGGTCAAGATGAAGGAGGAAGAAGAGCAATGAAGGTGATAGTCGGCATGTAAGAATTAAAAATATGCTGTAGTTATTATTAATGTGATTTCTTGTAGTTCTGTGGTCGCAGTGGTGATAAGTGAAGCGAGTGATACGCTCCATGTACTTTGGAGCCATGACGGCAGGGTCCAAACATTTAGCGACCCGACGCGTGGACCCCGCCGAGGGCGCGTTTGCAAGCTACGACACTGTTGACCAACACAACCATGCCCAGGTACGCCCGCAGACGCACCAGAAGAAACTGCGCAAGCTGTGGCTGACTTAGACTAGAGAAATCATAACATTACAGGCTGGCCAGTGCGGCAACAGCGTCGGGCAGCAGTTCTGGCAGCAGCTCTGTCAGGAACACGGCATCAATAAAGACGGAAACCTCGAGGACTTTGCGACAGAGGGCGGCGACCGCAAAGATGTCTTCTTCTACCAATCAGACGATACGCGTTATATTCCACGCGCCATCTTGCTAGATCTTGAGCCCAGAGTGCTGCATTCCATCCAGGCGAGTCCGTACAAGAACATCTACAACCCCGAGAACTTTTATATCCACAAAGATGGCACTGGCGCAGGTAACAACTGGGGCATGGGATACAGCATGGGCGAGCAGGTGCATGAGGATATTTTGGATATGATTGATCGCGAGGCCGACGGCTCAGACTCGCTCGAGGGCTTCATGATGCTGCACTCAATCGCTGGTGGAACTGGCTCTGGTCTCGGATCATACATGCTCGAACGGCTGAATGATCGGTTCCCCAAGAAGCTCATACAAACGTACAGTGTCTTTCCAAACACCCAAGATGGTGATATTGTGGTTCAGCCGTACAACAGTTTGTTGAGTATGAGGCGCCTGACGCAGAATGCAGACTCGGTGGTAAGTGCAGATTGAGCAGCTAGCAACCACGGCGCACCAGTATGCTAACTGCACAGGTTGTGCTCGATAATGGAGCCCTCACTAGGATCGCTGCCGACCGGTTACACGTCATGAACCCTTCGTTTGAACAGACAAATCAGCTCGTGTCCACCGTCATGTCTGCCAGTACGACGACCCTTCGCTACCCTGGATACATGCACAACGACCTGGTCGGTATTGTCGCATCGCTCATCCCCACCCCACGCTGCCACTTTTTGATGACGTCTTACACACCCTTCTCGGGCGAGAACGTAGAGCAGGCGAAGACCGTTCGTAAGACGACTGTCTTGGACGTCATGAGGCGCCTGCTACAACCCAAGAACCGCATGGTCTCAACCAACCCCACCAAGAAGAGCTGCTACATGTCCATCCTGAATATTATTCAAGGAGAAGCCGACCCCTCAGATGTACGTTGTGGATATCTTGCAGAACGAAAATCTCACTAATAGTAAAAAAAAAGGTACACAAATCCCTCATGCGCATTCGCGAACGCCGCCTGGCAACATTTATCCCATGGGGCCCAGCATCAATCCAAGTCGCACTAACCAAAAAATCTCCTTACGTAACGTCTTCCCACCGTGTCTCGGGCCTCATGCTGGCAAACCACACGGGCATCGCAACACTGTTCAAGCGCATAGTAGCTCAGTACTCCACCCTCCGCAAACGCAACGCCTTCCTCGAAAGCTACAAGCGCGAAGTACCCTTCAAAGATGGTCTGGGCGAATTCGACGAAGCAAAAGAAGTGGTACAGGGCCTCATTGCAGAGTACGAAGAGGCAGAGGATGCGGATTACCTGACCAAGGAGACTGCGCCGACGGACGAGGCAGAGGATAAGAGAGCGGGCTAGCAGTTGGGCTTGAGAGGCGTGGCGGGAATCTAGGGCGTCGGCGTCTTTTTTTTTGGGAGGGGGCGGGCACATATATGTACTGTATAGTTGGAATCTTTCTTTCTTTCTGTCTTCGGTTTAACCCCCTTTCTTGCTTGGAAGGAGGGGGGAGTTTGCAACGGCAGCAGGCGTTGGCGGGAAAAGGCAAATCAAAGGGGAGGGGGATTGGAATCGATTCCCATCCTCCATACATACAAACACCTTTTTTTCTTTCTTACAAGGCAGCATTTTCTCGGAGTGTCAAAATGTTTGTTATTTTTTTTCGTTTACGGAATTGATATGCAAGAGAGCACATGTTCTTTTTTTTCTTCTTCTTCTGGTGTGTATTGTACATGAGTTGCTTTACTACCCTTGCTTCCAGGGCATCCTTTCCACACCCCTCACCCACCTCCGTCGTCTCCACTCGCCTTTTCGACTGGGCTTACTCTCTTCCCATGTCCGTCTCAGGACCTCCTTTTCTTGCTCTGTAAAATCGATACTTCCGCCCTTTGACCCCTCCCTCTTCTTCATCTTCAGCCGCGCGCTGCCCGCCCTATCCTCGTCCGTCTCGAGGAGCTCGTAGTGCAAATCCGTGACCCAGCGTTCGCCTTCGATTTCGACTTCTACGCCCGTGACACAGCGGTCTTCGACCCATTCGCGCGAGAGCAGGTCGAGCGTCCATTTTTTGTCGCTCCAGCGCCAGCCCCGGGGTGGTAGCACGTCTTCGAAAAAGGGGGTGCCGCGCGGTCTGTCACCGCTTATCCGCGATGGCGATAATGGTGCATATGGTGAGGGAGAGAACATGAAGCTTTCGTATTCGCCGTGCTCGTCGTGTAGGGCGCGATGTTGCAGCTCGAAGATTTCCACCTCGCGTGTCTCGTGCGACGTTTCGAGCTCAATATCTGCGCGGGAAATGGTGAGTAGGAAGGAGCGGCTTTCGTTTTCCACTTCGGCCACAAATTTTTCAGTTTCGGGGGTTGCAAGGAGGTCTTGGACGGTTGGGTGACCGAGGGCTGTGACTGTGTATCCAAGCATGAGGAAGATGGCACGCCAGGGAAGGAGGTGGGCGCTGATGAATAAGAGGACCGAGACGACGAGTAGGATGAGGTATATCATGGAGGAAAGGTTTTCGTTGCTAAAGTTGGTAAGTGGCGTGAAGAAACTCAGTACTGCATCGTGTACGTTGCTGAAATCGTCCATGCAATTCTGCAAGTCACGCAAGTTGCGGAAGAAGTCCTTGCTGAACTCTGGTGCAGGCTTGATAGTCGTGGCATCCGCGAGAGGCGGTCCCCCCAGGCTTCCCCTCCACAGGTCGCCGTCCACGTCCATGGCGTTGCTCGTAGGCTCCGGATGTCGGGTGAGGTAGGCGGGGACCATGACGAAGAACATGCCGCATGCCAGCGGGAGGACAGGCAGTAGGTAGGGGTTTACGCATACAAAAGTCCAGACGAAGAGGAAGGATAGCGTCTGAGTAGGCTGCACCCAGGTAAAGAGACGTATGGCTCTGTTTTGTGCGATGAAGGCGACACCAATGCGCGAGTTGAAGCGACGGAAGTTGGATGACATGGTGGGGATGCTGAAGCTGGGGCGGGCGACATAGGATTTGGACCGGCGATCTTTGACCTGAGGTGTGTTTTTGGCCGGGGTCGAGGGCGAATCTGAGGGCGGGCTGTCGGAGAGGTCCTCGGACGGGAGCACCTGTGAGAGCAGTCTGGACGGGTCAGGGTCAGTCATGTTGTGGGGATGCGTTTGATGCTGACGTTGTGTGTCGAGGGTACGTACAGATTCATCATCTTGTCACCCATCCTACTCGTCGAGTCGCGGGTCATGTTGTCGCCCAGAGACTCGAGCTTGTTCATGAGCTTGCTGGCGGAGAGTCGGTGCGACGGGGGCTTGTTGGTCGTGGGGGTGCTGCTGTTTGATGCATGCTGGACTTGGACCACGGGGATGGGCGCGTCGCGGTTTGCGAGGGATTCTGCGTTTCCGTGCGCCATGTTGGGCGGTTGAGATTGTGCGGACGATGCTTGGTGCTGGGTATGTGGGCACTGCCTCGAGTGCTGCGTGGGAGCGAGGCGTGTCACATGTAACAGGGCTGGGGCGCAGGTGCAAGTGTTTGGTCGGGATTGTGGATGCTCTGCAGTTGCACCAAGGCCATCAGGGTGTCGTCATTCTCCGCGCGCTCGTTGACTGTGTGCCAGTCTCGAGGCTATTGTCGTCGGTGTCGTCGGGCGTGCAGAGCGGTTCGCAAGAGCGTGGCGTGGGGAGAGTGTGGGGTGGTGTGTGTGGTGTTTGGTCGGACTGCAGTGGGAGATGACGCACATGGCATGTGAGGCGTGTGCGTGGTGGCGGTGTTCTGGGCTGGGCGTGTGCCGTGTCACCTTTACTCGTTGTGGTGGCTTCCCCACACCCATGGGCCCCGTGCACGTTGGCCGTCGCAATTCCTGACCGCCAGGGATACACAACGCTGCGGAGCCTCGAGGGGAACCTTGCGGCTCACAAAAGGGTCTTGCACCTCGCACAGCAATCGGGCGCCTGATTCAAGACGACAGGACAGCCATGGGGGGTGCGGCGGGCAGGGCATGTAGAGCCGAGGGGGGTTGGCTGGGCGTGCAGTAGATTTCCCGTCTAATGTCCATTAAGCATATATTCATACACAAGTGTCATAGTGTCTATGTGCCATGTGCATGTACCATGTATGTATGTGTGTGTGTGTGTGTGTGTGTGTGTGTGTGTGTGTGTGTGTGTGTGTGTGCGCGCACATGGGGACATGAGCAGCTCGGGCTGCCGTTGGCCGGAGCGCTGGTTTCCTGGGAGAGGGGCGTTGTTTTGATGATGGTGTGCCACTCGCTGCTCGTCCCGCCATGGACAGGCAGGCCGACAGGGGCATCGTCAACTAGACAACCCTTGGGCCTAGTGTGGCTTTTGTGGGCTGCCGACCCTCTTTGTGACTTTGACGACTGTCAACCATCGCTGCTGCGACGACCTTTTTCCTTGCCGTCTCTGCAGCGCGGTGTCTCTGCTGCGCCCGAGCCCATTGCTCCCCTGAGACCTTATACACACTCCCACGTCGCCCGCATTACCGGCCCGCCCATCATCCTCACCGCTGTAGCCGGTCCCTTAGACATGTCGGCATAGTCGACCTGGGTGCCCAAGCTTGACGCTTGGAGACGACTTCGGCGCATTTCCAAGACGAGGCCTCGTCTTTGAATTTCTTTTTTTCGAACCCATCCCAGATCCAGTAGCTCCCATACTGCTCGAGCTCCCACCATCGGGCTGGGGGTGCGGACCATGTCGATGCAGCCGCGAACCACGACTAGAACCATGGCCTCCGCCTCCGCCGACGTGCCCGAACGCTCAGGGTCCACCGTGTCGGACGACTCTAGTGGCTCGTCAGGTAAGAAAAAGCACTGCCAGACTCAGCGCCAGGCGTGTCCGTCGATGATGCTAACACCTATCGTCTCTCCCCCCAGAAGACCGCGTACGCAAGTTCCAAAAGACGGGAGAGCAGGGCAGCCGACTGCGCAAGACAAGCGCCTCCAATGCACTCGGCTCCTCCTCCTCCTCACGTCCTCTCCCCAATCCCAACATGACCACCGCTGCCGGGCGCGGGCGGGCTAGAGTCCCGCTGGGCCCCCGCGAGCGTCCTCAGGACTTCTCCAAACAAAGGTAGGTACTCGACGCACGGTTGGCATGGCATCCACCGCCATGCCACAGTCGTCACCTATATCTGTGTAGCCGGCTAACTGACGCGTGAATCGATGCAGGATGACGAGTGCAGCTACTACTACCTCTACCCCCTCTGCCGCTGCTGCTGCTGCTTCTGCCCAAGCACGCTCCTCCTCCTCCTTCGTGCCCTCCCTTGGCTTCGAGCCTACCACGCGCGGTCCCCCCTCGAACCCACGCTTCAGCTTCTCCAAGCAGCTGCAGCCCGACCCTGCAAAGGACGAGGCCCGCGATGGCCCCGTTTCCTACGACTTTCTGCCCTCTGTCAACTTTGACGACTTTGCAAATAGCTTATCCTACGAGCCCACCCTGAGCGACTTCCCTGCCCCCGGCTCCTTCACCACCGCCGGCGGACCTGCTGACAACTCCGCTTCTACCTCTCACCACCACAATAACAACAACAACAACAACAACACCCCTAGCAACAACACCAATAATACAAACAACATCCCCACATTCACTGGTATCCCCACCGAAACACGCCCTGCACGCAGCAGCTCCTTTGCCCGCCGCTTCAGTCAATCGGCAGCTAGAAAAGTCAGCGCTGGCATGTCTGCCTCTAGCTCAAACACGCCCGCGATGCCCCATCCCCCTAGCAACATGACGATTCGCACACGCCGTCAGAGCCAGTTCTCTTCACAAGCGCCACCCAATCCGGCTGCACGCCCACCGCGAAAGAGCGTTGGCCCTGGAATGATGCCAACGAGCAGCTTCGACCGCGATGACCTGGCCGGTATGCCAACCCTGAATAACATCACTTCTGGAGTACCAAAGCTTGCAAGCACTACGCGGAACGCAAAAGCAAAGTCTCTGCAGCCTCCTTCAAGACAGCAGTCGGGCCATCTGACTGTCTCGTCCATGACCCCAGACCCAAGCTCCATGTCTCAGGTCACCACTCGCTCACCAGGTAGAAGTGCTGTTGCACAACGGTCGCATACACCTTCCTCGTCTGCCAACAAGCGACAATCCACTGCACCCCACATATCTGGTTTGGGGGCCAGGACTATCAGCCCCACCGATGCCCGGAGGCTGAGAAGATTATCCATAAACCCTAATCAGCCTCCAGGAGGGCCGGTTGGTCCCCCCACCCCCCAGGGCGACGCAACATTCGACGAGCGTGCTTTTAGCCAGTCTCCTGCTATGAGGCTAGGAGGCAGCATGACACCTTCGTCGGCGCGCGCAACACCTGAGCAAAAACGCAAGTCCTATGCCTCTGGTGTTTCGCTCTCGTCTAATTCGAGCTTGAATTCGCTCAAGGT